GGACAGTGTGTGTGCGTCATATTGTGCACGTTGGGCCTGATGGGGGATAGATGCGCTGTTTTTCAGCACCATGCACATCGCACTCTTGTGGTCTGTATTTGTGTGAGGTGCACTGATGAGTTTTTCTCTGATGAAATCCTGCAGGCGCCACATCTGAGGCAAAGCTGCAAAACCAGCATGACAATAGCCACATTCTATGACTGTTTAGTCTTTATCATTTAAAAAAGGAAGTGACGGACAAAAATTGATCATGACAATTTTTTTCTTACCCTGTCAGTCAAAATGACAGACAGCAAAAAGGTCTAGCACAACCTCTATCTTGGAGACACAATTTATAAGGATAGTATTTTTTTACAATAACAAGTTGAAATGAAAACAAGCAAAAATGAAATAAAAGTAACAACTTTCTACTTCTTACCTTTTTTTAAAATGTAGTGAGTAGAAAGTACCGATAATTGTGTGAAAATGTATGGTGTAGAAGTAAAAAGTAGGCTGAAAATTAATTACTCAAGTAAAGTACAGAGATACCCAAAAATTCTACTTAAGTACAGTAACAAAGTATTTGTACTTAGTTACTTTACAACTTTGAGTTTGTATGGCCTTCCCATTTACATGTGGGAGCAACGAGTGGTATGCTGTTTTCTTTAGGTGGTTCTTGCCCCCATTCATCGACCTATGGATTTTTGGTAAAAATGACCAATTTTTGAAGGTCAGTGTACAGGTAAACGTCAGAAGGGGTTGACATGTATGCAAATGTAAAGACAGCTGCTTATTTACTATTTTTTTGTTATTTACACAATGTAAAAAATAATTTAAAAAAATGTTTTGGCAGTGTGGAAAAAACTTACCTGGAGACTGAGGTTTTGGAGGAACCACTGCCAGTCTCTTTGGCGAAGAAGGGAGGGAGCGTGTGACCTCTGAACTCCGCTGAAACTCCTTCCTGCCAACTGTTAAGACACAAGCATGAAAAACAAGCAGGCGTCTTTGTCCTCAGAAAAACACTTTCACCTGTATAAATCATTTCAACTGGCAGACTCGTTTGAGAAATTCCCAACCCATACGAGCGATGGCACTCAAAACAAAACAAAAAGGTTTTGGCAATAGAGGAAACTATCATGTGTGGAGAAAACCCAACGTCTCTCAACACACTGAGGACATCTTTACAATGAAGCACGGTGGTGGAAGTATCRTGCTGAAAAATCAACCACTTCTGAAACACAAGGCAGTTTTTTAGTTGTAAGGCAACAGATTAGGAAGAAAAGCTGGGCTGAGGGGTCATCACAAACTTCAAAACACCCTTATCTATCAAAGAAAACAGGCGCACTCTAAGCTATGCACCTAACGTAAGTTGTAGTGAACATGGGCTACAATCAAAAACTCAGCCTTTCTTTCTTCATGTATGATTTATTATTACATTTTCTCTTGTGTTTCATTCCGTCTGTTCCTACTGAAGTGCATAAAGCACAAAAGTGATTTTAAAGCATTAATATTAGGAGTGTTGCACAGAAGCTCAAAGTGATGAAAAAGCAGGGAGCAGGAAACTGTGTGAAGCCTTCCTGAAAACAAGTGACATGAAAAAAGTGAGAAGAAAGGAAATTTCAAGAGCTTCGCAAAGAGACTGTCGTGACACAGAGAAGAGAGGAAAGAGAAGCCTTGAGAGGAAACTAATTAGAGTTCTGACTCTGAACAATCCTCATACGACTCTGGAGAGATACTTTGGGCCTGCAGAGACAGTGTTAGTGTGCTCACGGAGTGTGCTCTTGTGCAGTGATACAAACCTTGCTCTTAAGAGTGACTCATGTAGTTTGAGTGGGGATATCAAATCACACCGCTGTGAAAATACACTGAATTTGAGTTTCAAACTGAGCAAACCAGTAGACTTATGGAGAAATCAAATGATAACTGCATGCTACTGTTAAATGTGTTGCTTTTATTGTTGCCTTGCTGTTTAGTGTTATTTTTATGGTGCTGTTGCTGGTGTTATTAAAAGAAGCCTGTTGAATTTGAGAGCGAGTGTAATTTCATGTCATTTCGCCAACACAATTAAAATGAAAAACAGTCCTTGAGAGGATGTGAACTGCTAGCCACCTTTCACACCAACATTTTAAACAAAGATCTCACAGGATCTGTTAACGCTCAGAGTATAACATGGGAATGACTCTCAGTTACAATCACACCAGATTTTAGATCCAAACCTGTTAAACTGAGTTGATCAGCTGTGGAGACCATCTTACATCAGGTCAACTCAAAAACGACATCCAGTGATGAATATGTACGAGTTTCATCCTAATTTGTCTACTTTAATGAGATATTTTATTAACGGAGAGATAGGGTTAACTCAAACTGTTAATGACATATTTGTAAACAAAGGTTTTGCACAATCTGGAGAGCTCTAAGTATGTTTTGGGGTTGACTCTTAGCTACTACCAACTCCAAATTTTAGCTTAATTTCTGTAAAACAGACCAATTTATAGCTGTTTTGTGATTACCAAGACTGATTAATTATGGTGCACATTTTGAAAAGAGATAACTCCAAACATTAATAAGTCGACGATCTACATCCAGCAATCAATTTCTGAGAGTTTTTTGAAAATTCATCCCCATTTTGCTAACAGATTGACATTACAGCAGTTGATAATATTTAGGGTTGTAAACTCACTTTATGTGGAGATGCAACAAATTCAAAGATTCACATCTTGATTTATTATTATTATCTGCCTTATATAGTATATATACAGTATCTGTCTATTATATCTGTTACATATCTGTCTTCCTGGTAGCATTTGGAAACRTCTGGAAATGTTTAAAAGGTAGAAACCGCGTCGTTTTTGCCCACCAGTGGRACAGAGACTGCTTCTGAAAATACAGATCACATGGGATCTATGACTACAGACACAGGTTTTACTTTAGATGTTTGGTGGAGGATGAGTAATTAAACGTATTTTCAAAATGCCTCCAATCAGACTCATAGTGACTGCTCTCAATCAAACTTTTCACTGCCAGATCCATGAACAAAACCAAATTTTATTGCTCACATAAGCAAGAAGCGCCCGTGCACGACTTGCAGCTTGACAGCAAATTTCTTCATGAAATATTTACAACACACTTAACATCAGCTCGGGGCACACGGGGTGAGAGAAATGTTTTCACTGCCACTGCACTGCCTACATCCCTTATACAGACAGAGAGAGATAAAAAACAGTGCTGTTTGGCAGCACTGTTTTGTTACGCTGTCCAAAAGGTGTTTTACTCAAACTGGAGWACAAAAAACATGGTTGACTTTTGTGTTGAGATTCCAAGCAGACGCCATAAAAGTTTAAACATATCCAGCGTGACAGAGTGAAGTGTGATGGTACAGGGCCTCTGGTGTTAACTCTAGGAGTGAAAAACTGCTGTGTGTGAAAAGTATCACTGTTTCATGCTGGTGTGAATCAACTCMGGCTTGATTCAGTGAGATCCTTGTGTTTTTCTTTCTCTGCTCTGTAGCTTGAGAGGCTAAGTTAGTATCTCAGAAGCTTTTGTCCTTTTTTTCTGATATTTTCTTTAGACAAAATAGAAAAGATGCCCTTATTTAAAGGAGTAGAGGATAATAAATGTGGGGTGCCAAGTGTAATTAATATTT